AGTATATATTAAGTAAAGATTTCAACAGTTTGCACCCACACAGAAACACAAAGTGCAAAGTACTGTTTGAGTACTAGTTATAGCATTAATTCACATTGGACAACACGTTAAGGACAGAGATCCTACATGGGGAGTAAGTGCACAGTGACTCCTGTTATTGATTTAACAATTGACACTCTTTGTTTATGGTGTCAGTAATCACCCTAGGCTCTTGTCATGAGTTCCCAAGGCAAGGCTATGGAAGCCTTTAGAGTTCGCCAACTCCAATCTTATTTAGACAAGGCCATAGTCAAAGTGGAAGTTCTCTCCTCCCTTCAGAGAAAGGTATCTCATTCTTTGATGGCCTGTTCTTTCCACTGGGATCACACTCACAGAGATCTTTCATTTAGGCTTTTTTTTTTTTTTTTTTTTCCCCACAGTGTTTTGGCTTTCCTTGCCTGAAATACTTTTATAAGCTTTTCAGCCAGATCCGAATGCCTTCAGGGCTGATTCTGAGGTCACAGTGCTGTTTAGGACAGCTGCCATTCTATAAGTCTGCTGTGTGTCCCACTTCTCATGTTGGATCTTTCTCTCCTTTTTAATTCTTCTTTTTTTTTTTTTTTTGACAGGCAGAGTTAGGCAGTGAGAAAGAGAGAGACAGAGAGAAAGGTCTTTCTTTTTCCATTGGTTCACCCCCTAAATGGCTACTATCCGCTGTGCGGATCCGAAGGCAGGAGCTAGGTGCTTCCACCTGGTCTCCCATGCGGGTGCAGGGCCCAAGCACTTGGGCCATCCTCCACTGCCTCCCCGGGCCACAGCAGAGAGCTGGACAGGAAGAGGAGCAACCGGGACAGAATCCGGTGCCCCAACTGGGACTAGAACCCAGATACCGGCACTGCAGGCAGAGGATTAGCCTAGTGAGCCGCAGCACCGGCCTCTCCTTTATAATTCTATTAGTTAGTATTGGCAGACACTAGTCTTGTTTGTGTGATCCCTTTGACTCTTAATCATATCATTATGATCAATTATGAACTGAAACTGATCACTTTGACTAGTGAGATGGCATTGGTACATGCCACCTTGATGGGATTGAATTGGAATCCCCTGGCATGTTTCTAACTCTACCGTTTGGGGCAAGTCCCATTGAGCATGTGCCAAACTGTACATCTCCTCCCTCTCTTATTCCCACTCTTATATTTAACTGGGATCACTTTTCAGTTAAATTTAAACACCTAAGAGTAATTGTGTGTTAATTAAAGAGTTCAACCAATAGTATTAAGTAGAACAAAAAATAATATTAAGAGGGACAAAGTACTAAGTTGTTCCTCGACAGTCAGGATGAGGGCTGATCAAGTCCTTGTTTCTCATAGTGTCCCTTTCACTTCAACAGGTTTCGTTTTTGGTGCTCGGTTAGTTGTCACCGATCAGGGAGAACATATGATATTTTTCCCTTTGGGGCTGGCTTATTTCACTCAGCATGATGTTTTCTAGATTCCTCCATTTTGTTTCAAATGACTGGATTTCATTGTGTGTGTGTGTGTGTGTGTGTGTGTGTGTTTTACTGCTGTATAGCATTCTATAGAGTACATGTCCCATAATTTCTTTATCCAGTCTACTGTTGATGAGCATTTAGGTTGATTACAGGTCTTAGCTATTGTGAATTGAGCTGCAATAAACATTAAGGTGCAGACAGCTCTTTTATTTGCCAATATAATTTCCTTTGGGTAAATTCCAAGGAGTGGGATGGCTGGGTTGTATGGTAGGGTTATATTCAGGTTTCTGAGGAATCTCCAAACTGACTTCCATAGCGGCTTAACCAGTTTGCATTCTCACCAATGGTGGGTTAGTGTCCCTTTTTCGCCACATCCTCGCCAGCATCTGCTGTTGGTAGATTTCTTATGTGAGCCATTCTCACCAGGGTGAGGTGAAACCTCATTGTGGTTTTGATTTGCATTTCCCTGATTGCTAGTGATCCTGAACATTTTTTCATGTGAATGACATGTATTCTTGAAATACTTCTTGTTGTATAAAACACTAAGGAATTCTTAATATTTAAAAATATTAAAGAAGAAGATAGATAAGTAGGTAGGAAGTCAAACATATGTAATTTTCCCCTAATATCTGTGGTATATGTTTATTTGAGCATCTGTGTAAGTATGTGGAACACACAAAAATATGACTTATAAAGGGCTACCTGGAAATTCACCTTGGAGCATAATGGAATAATGCAAGTGATTTTAAAGAATTCAATTCTATTATGGTAATGACATTCTCTATGTTTACTTATTATCCTAATGGCATGAATAGTGGTTAGTCTAATTTTTTTTTAAAATAATACTATTGCTTTAGAATAATCTCTATGCTAGCTAATTATGCTTTTTATTTATAGGAACTCTTTTTGGACTTTCATGGGAATATTCAGGATTCTGTGAATAGTTTTAATTTAACATCTTGAGTCTTTGAAGAAGTTTAATTTATATTTATTATGTGCATGAAATATTTTATTAGCTATATAGTGGTTACAGGCTTACCCTGACACTGGTATAGTGCTGAAGATAGAACAGACTACAAAAAGAGGAAGCATTCATAGTCTTACAGGGGAGGCTTTAAACAAATGAATCAAAATATAACAAATGAGGTTACGAGGACGAGGAAGAAAAGTATTGCAGGTAAGGAGAGAGAGAGATACTACACCTGCTGTACTTCACAGAAGGCCTTTCTGGTGAAGTGGCATTTGAGATCCTGGATAGTAGAGGGTTCCAGACAATGAAACAACAAGTGCTTGACATACAGAACTGAAGACAATGCAGCATTTGCTATACAGACCCAATAGAACCCAAAGCTTTCTCTCTTCAAGCACAAGAGTGTGGATAGTTGCAACTGGAGAGCAAAGATTTCCTAGGAGCAGGCCTGGCTTTGAGGACATGGAGTCTGTGTGCTCCCTAGGGTCACATACGGCCCACTGAACGTCCTCCCACGCGCCCTTTCACCTCTTCATGACTCAGTTCCACACTCCCAATTTTGCCACCTCCAGGAGAAACAGAAAAGGAGTGAAGTGCAATACAGACTCTTTGGATAAATAGCGGCCAATACTGTACTTCACAGAATCAATTTCAGAGGTCTGTCTGCACGAGTGTTGGATCTGACTTCCAGTGTTCTATCACTTTTCTCTTTATTGGTATTGACGTGACTGACATAGTTACTCTACCCACCATTACAGCTCCCTAGTGAGCTTTCTCTTCTGGTATGGCAAACCTCCACTTTCTTTTTTATAGTTTATAATAATAATAATAACAACGACCATAAAAACCCAGTCCTAAAACCCCTCTCTGAGGCAGAATGACAGCCATAAACATTAGGCAGAACAGGGCTGCCTCCATTCACTGGGACTCAGCTCTGCCATGCTCCTGCCCAAGGGGCCTGCGCCAGCAGCAGCCTGGGGGAGTAACATTGCCTCCTGCCTGGACAGGTTCCATAGGAATTACACAGCTTTGTCTCCCTGACCCTGGGCTCCTCCTCAGCTCAGTCAATATGGACAAACTGTCTGCTCAGTGTATCTGAACACACAGACACTTTTTTTTTTTTAGTAAATTAAGCCATCCTTGATGAATATTTAATGTTTGGCATGAATCCACAATCTGTGTTAACATAGCTTCAATCTGTAACTCTTTTAGTGGGGCATATGAGGCGCAGGTAAAAACTCTGAGAGCTCATCCTGTGACAAAAATCTCACTGGAAAGTGGGGAGGTGGGCAGACAATGTTGATCCCTGTTGGAATTCACTGGAATTCAAAACCAACGGGAAGAAGGCAAAAGGCACCTCATTAATGCCCTTTGCTTTCTTTCTCCTTCTGAGCCACTCCACCTCCTCTTTAGAGTATTTAGAGGGTTACCCTGGATGTTCTCCACTTTTTCTTATTTAAAGCAATGTTCCAAATCACCCCAAGGCTCATTTGTACCCAAATGGTTTCTATCACTATCTTGCAGATCACTGTATATTCTAAGAATCATTTCAGGTTTGAAAAACAGTCAGGGACCCTGAACACGGAATCATCCAGAACCACTTAATTCGTTCATTTTTTTTCTCCTTTTCATCTGTTCCTCAAAGGAAAAAAGAAAAAAAGAAATCCCCAAGTTCATTTCTCTGTGAGATGATACCTTTCACTTATCGGTAAATTGCATCTTAAAAGAAAGAGTGCTTTTCCCAATGATGGGAACAGAGAATGAAATACTACGCCAATTTAAAATGCTATTACCTGCTTGTATTCTCAATGTCTGTTACCTTACATGCCACTGTTCTTACATAGGGATCTTTTTTATTATCATTATTTCCTGTTATTTTCTTCATCACCCAGAGAGCTTCATTAGAGAAATAAAGCAAGGGTAGGAGCGTTTGACAACAAGAGACAAATGATGTTAGTGAGAAGCTCTCTGATGAGGTGGTTTGCAATTTATCTGTTTAGCAGAGTGCCTCTGACTTGTCAGGAGGAAGGCTTGGCACCTGCTCCGGGAGCGACATATGGCTGTGGTAAAGCGCTGTCAATGTCTAAGGGCTGTGCCTGCATGTACCTGGGGCAGGAGGAACCCAAACACACAGACTGTACGTGGGTCTGGCGTTTCTCCACATCTGCTTGCACCTGCTGAGATGGGGCACGAGCCAGGAAGGCCGACTGGCAGGTTTTCCTCCTCTTTCCTCCCTCTCTGCTAAAACCACATCCCCAGGGAGAAGAAACTCTCTCTCCTTGCTTTTATTTTAGTTCCTGCTTTGTCTTCATTGGGCGGATGAAGGTGCCTACCTCTTCAACTTTCTTATCTGCAGTAAGTATAGTCAGCAAGCTAAAAATAGCCACTTTTGATAGTGGCCAGGCACAGCTTTTCAAACCAACCATAAAGCTCATCCTTCTCTCAGGCAAGTCAAGGCCCATGTTATATCTCCTCACATTTAAAAGGCATAGAAGATTTTCATCCTAAGCCCTAAGGATTCAGCATTAATTTAAATGACTTTAGGTTAATACTACTTACTGTCATCATGCCATCCAAAAGGCCAGTCTCTGGTCTGGGCGGGGCCTGCAACCGCTCCATGGACCACTTCTCAATGATGGATGACACGTGGGGGTTGTCAATGTTAAGCAGCCGAAACCCAGTCATATTTACACCGCTATACCTGTAGAGTTCCAGATCTAAAGCAAATAAGTCCTGTGCAATATTAAAAATGATAGAAGTAGAAAAGAATTAGAATTTTTTATGTTTTTATGCAAAAGAGAATTAATGACTGCAGAAGCAGGGCATAGATGAATTAAAAATGGAGCCATTATCACTCCATTTCTATTAAAAAAATCTCCCATTGGTTTTCATTTCATTCTCATTCTGCCTAATAAATTCTTTTTTTTTTTTTTTTTTGGACAGGCAGTTAGACAGTGAGAGAGAGAGAAACAGAGAGAAAGGCCTTCCTTTTCCGTTGGTTCATCCCCCAAATGGTTCACTTCCCCAAACAGCCGCTACGGCTGGTGTACTGTGCCAATCAGAAGCCAGGAGCCAGGTGCTTCCTCCTGGTCTCCCATGCACGTGCAAGGCCCAAGGACCTGGGCCATCGTTTACTGCACTCCTGGGCCACAGCAGAAAGCTGGACTGGAAGAGGAGCAACTGGGACAGAATCCGGCACCCCAATCAGGAATAGAACCCGGGGTGCCGGCGCTGCAGGCGGAGGATTATCAAGTGAGCCACGGCGCCCGCCAGTGCCTGATACATTCCAAGGTGGTAAGTGGTTCTCATTTTTACTCACCTCTTGCAAGACTGTTAGAGTTTGGATAACCCAAGAACAGGAATTTGGCTTCCAATAAGTTGTACGCCCTTGGGTACAAAATAGTCTCGGGGGAATTGGAAGAGAGAATTGTGGTCATTTGGTTCAAAGATTTTATTTTGTCACGATGTGACCAAGTATCTCCTTACTCATCACATCTTGCTGCCTCAAGAATTTCTAGGTCTTGCTATGAAGGTCAAATTTGGAGATTGCACATGTACTTGACAGAAAGACCACTCCTGGTTCATGGGTCATAACTCACATTCCCTACAATGAGGACATGAAGAATGCTCACTGTACATCTATGCAAAATAAGAACTAGAGTTCTTACCCAAGGATATTATTGGAGCAGGTGGTTGAGTTGAATGTGAGAACAGGTACACAACAGAGCTCGTTCCTTTTCAGACTAATTCAGCAATAAAATTTAACCTGCTCCAGTGTTTTTCATTACACTGGATGAGGCTGAGTGTAAACCAGAAGTTTGTAAACTGATTCAGATTTCTAACACACTTACATGGTAATTTCAAGTTTTTTATGTATAAAAAGGTTAGGCTGGAAAACATATCACATTTAAGAATGAACAAGAGTTCCCAAATAGTATTTAACAGAAAATACATAAAAATTCCTAACAGTATAGCTGCTGGCTGCAAGTGCAGTACAGATACTACATTACCAGTGATAATAGTGGTTACTCGAGAGAGCAGCAGTTCCTGAAACACTTCATGATTTTCATTTGCATGAAATGCATACAGATTTATTCTTTTGAAGAACTCTTCTGCATTGCTACCCTTTCCCATGATAACTTTGGACTAAGTGGTAGAACTCCAAGAGTGCAGTTCTGTGCTTCCAGCTCAGTGTTAGAAAATATGTACTGCCTTTTAAAGTATTATCTATTCCTTTTCTGTACTAAGTATACACATTTTTTTTTCTTTAGGTTTTGTCAATACTCATGGGAAGGAATGGTAAGATCACAAAGGCAAAGCAGGAAAGAATGGAGATAAAACCAAAGTAAAATGCTTCAGGAAGCCAATTTATAGAAAAAGATCCAGGGATTAATGACTTCTATAGCACACTCAATAAATAGATCAAAGATACCTAAGTAACAAAAGACAGAAACTTCCAGAAAGCATATTTAATCCCTGAGGGATTCAATAGGACATAGATACAGTGTACTAAAATGAACACATTAAACACATGAACAGTTAGGTTGTCCTACAACTTGTGGTTTCTACGCAGTAGAGAATGTGGGGATGCCACGGTCTAATTTGTGATGTGCCCTTGTGAGTACAGGATAAGGAAAGGAGAAATGGGAGGGGTGAACAGGAATCTACAGTGCACAGTTTGTTCACTTTCAAGCATCTCCATTGAAGACCAGTGTTTTTAGATTCAACTGTTCATATTCTTCCTCAAATTTCTCCAAAACTAGCATTTTGGGGTTTGTACAGATGGGATTTGCAGAAAGTTCTCAGGGAGATGTCAGACTGTCAGCATTAATATCCAGGTCTTTATGGAGTCAGAGCGAGGCCCATATTTGTGAACAAAGTAAGACACTTAAAAAGTCCCAAAGTGGAGGTGAATGATTCTGTGTGCCATATTGGCTGGGTTAGCATTCCACCTCTGCTCCTTTCCTTTCTTTTCTTTTCCTTTCCTTTCCTTTCCTTTCCTTTCCTTTCCTTTTCCTTTTCCTTTTCCTTTTCCTTTTCCTTTTTTTTTTTTTTTTGACAGGCAGTTAGAAAGTGAGAGAGAGAGACAGAGAAAAAGGTCTTCCTTCCATTGGTTCACCCCACAAATGGCTGCTACAGTCGGCATGCTGCGCCGATCTGAAGCCAGGAGCCAGGTGCTTCCTCCTGGTCTCCCATGCGAGTGCAGGACCCAAGCACTTGGGCCATCCTCCACTGCCTTCCCAGGCCACAGCAGACAGCTGGACTGGAAGAGGAGCAACTGGGACAGAATGCGGTGCCCCAACCGGGACTAGAACTCCGGGGTGCCAGCACTGCAGGCGGAGGATTAGCCTAGTGAGCCTCGGCGCCAGCCCCACTTCTGCTTCTAATTCCACTTTCCTGCTAATATACACCCTAAGAGGCAGTAGGTGTTGGCTCAGGTGGTTGGATCACCACCACCCATGTGGGAGACCTTGACTGAATTCTTAGGTTTTGGTTCAGTCCTGGCCTAGCCCCTGATATGGAGATGTTGTGGGCATTTGAAGAGAGAAACAATGGTTGGAAGATCTCTGTACCTCTGCCTCTTTCAAATACATTAGAAATAGATACATAAAAAATACCAAAAAAAAAAAAAATACCCAGGGTTTCCCTTCACTATTCTGAAAAAGAATCTGACCAAGAAGGTAGGATCATGAGGCAGGAGACCACAGAAACCTTAGTTCAGGAACTTCTCCCCTGCATCCTGCTTCTCTGTCCTAAACTCAATACATGATTCTTGCCCATTGTGCCAAAGCATCCATCCCATAATGTTGTCTGCATCTCCTCATGCTGTCAGAGATCCGTGGGTCAGGAATACAATCTACTGCTTCTGGAATAAATGAGTAAAACAGCTCATTGGTCTTCTATTCTATTTTTTTTCTTCTACTCATCAGGAGTAGGATTTATTTGTTAAAGCTTTTCTTGTGCTGAATCCCCCAGAATCTGGATGGACTTTAGTTGATACACACTAACAGAGGTTAATTCTGTGTTTTCTTTTCAGATCAGAAAGTGGAGTGTGTGTGACTGTGGGGGAGGGTGAAGGGAGAGTGTGGTGTGTACGTGTTTGTGTGTGTGTGTATGTATGTGACTGATTTCTGATATTAGTTGATTAATAGCTACCACATTATTTTGATATATTAAGTGTCCTATATCATCATCCCTTTTTCTGATAATTCTCAAAGTTTAAGGCATCTTAGAGTTTGGATTTCTAAGGTTTAGAGCCATAATTGTTCTTAGTGGTTCAAAATTCTTAATGTGTAGAGCATTCCACAAGCTCCTTTTCTTTACAGTTTTCCAAACCCCTGTCAGGTCAACAGCCCCTGGTACACCAGCTGTATCCTGACATGGGCAGAAAAGCTGCATCGGATTAAAGAAGGTCAACACACACTCTGGTGTACTCCATAATGAATACAAATGGTAAGTGGTGCTTCTTTATGAATAGCTTGCACTTTGATAATTTCTATGTAATGGAATTTTTATTTTAATTCCTTTCCAGATACTCATGCATTGATGCAGGTTTAAAAAAGAAAGAAAGAAATCTGCTGCTCCATATTACTGTGTTTAGGAAATTCTTAGGAAAGTAAGGCAAATTTCCATGACAGTAGCCTTCCTTTGACACTGGTGGAGTTGACATATTTGAAATAACCATGTGAAGATGTTTCTTCTTGTGTGGAATAGATTTCTACCAGGTACGCTTACCAGGGTTGTGAAAAAATAGTGGTAGTACTCTGTCATCATGCCCATGAACAGAATCTACAAAAGAGAAACAAGGGAAAGATTTAGAAGCAGAAACATAATAAGAAATAGATCATTAGTAGGGTGACTGCCAAAGCTTGGGAACATAGAACAAGAAGGGCTTTGGAAATCCATAGACTTGGAGAATCATAAATTGGAGCCCAATTAGAGGCTGGTGTGGAGTGAGGTCACTGACCTTCAACCAATTCTATTTTCATTACACTATGTTAGATTTACAACAAAGTAGTCAATCTGATGTCAAATTTAAAAATAGTTTATGCTCAACGAATTTTATATTTGGAGTTGTCTATAATGACACAGGGTTTGTTTTTCCTACTGCCTAGGCTTTTGCATAATCTTATGTTTAAAAATATACTTTATTGATCTCCATCTCCATAGCCGTGATACTTAGCATAATGTTCCCCACAGAGTAGAGCTCATTAAATGTGAAAACAGCAAAGCTGGTGTGTAGATATTTAAATAGGAATTTACAAATGCATATATCTCTGAACCCTTTAGCTCTACTCTTTTTCCATTTTATCCCATTGACTGAGTGAGAGAAGAGAGGATTAGTTTATAGACAGTTGCATACTGTCTTGATTATGATTCTGAGTTATGTATTTAGGATCTTGATAGTTCCAGACATCCCATAGTAGGGATATTGTTTCTACTTTGTTTAGGAGAGAGAAGAAGGAGGGGATAGAAAAAACAAGGGGATTTGCTGGTGGTAGCTTATACAGTGTGATTTTTTTGGATTCCTGGAAGTGGTGTCAATTTAGAAGAAACAATTGCAAATGATTCGCTAAATCTAAATAAGTGCATCATCTTCCTTAGGGCAGGTTATTACAGGTACAGTTTTTTTGGTCTTTGAGTAGAAATCAATGGAGAAGACTTAGAAATCAAATTTCCAAGACAGTTTTCTCTGCAACTCTGGGTCAGTAGATACAAGGATGCAATGAGTATTCCCTATGGAAATTTTAAAATCTAAAATTCCCAGGTTCATCACAGAGATATCTTGACTCAGAATTTCTGAGAATGGAGCCTGGGTTTCGGTGTCTCATAGCAATGTTTGAGAATTATTGTTCTATAGAAAATCTGAACATTTGCATTAAGCTACAAAGACCTTAAGAAATGGATTAAAAAGTCTGATGAAAGGCATTACAAGTCACGAGAGGTCCTAGAAGGTGCCTAAGATAATATAGGCTCGAATGATTTTACACAAAAGAAATAAAAAGAACAAAGGTATTTGGTGACTACACATAACAGAATATGAACCTGAATCTGACACTTTTCTTAACAACATCTCTGCTAACGTGGAAACCAGAGGAATATTCAGTGAAATTGTAATGTCACAAAAGCAAGACAAATGATAGGAAACTCTCTTCATGAATCATGAGCCAATAGCATGTAAGTCACTCCTATGGTGATAACAAGACCAGGCACACAAAAGGATTTTTAAAAAGGGTAGACTTGCTTCAGGGCCATCAATAACACTTAATGCTGTGCATGGTGAGGTCTTGTTAGCTGGTCTCTTATATCATTCAAGCATAAAGAGCTGCCCTGCTGGGGTCAGTCAGGAATCCAATTTTTCACTTGGGTCATTAGATAGTATAATTGCTGCCAAAACTCCTCATGAAGGGGAGCTGGGCAAGTTTTATGTGAAGATACAGAGCTGGACACTGAGGTTTAAAATATCATTTCTGGAATTGAAAATGAAACACAAGGGCACCTGAGCTACAGCTTTTCACTCGGGTAGAAATTTTTTTAAAAACTTCATTATGGATATTTTTGATCTCCTGTTGTGGGTATAAGCATTTTTTTAAACAACTATTTAACGAATTATTTTTATTTTTGTGTTTTATAATTCCCAGAGGCAAATCTTCATTTGATATGCCTCTTACTCAGTGTTAGAAATGCAGTATAAAAATGTAGTGCATAAATAGACAACAGGCCTGCTTTTATTGCACAAAGAACCCTTGGGTCCTCCAGATACAATTGTTATTCCCTGTGCTAGGGAAAAATAAAAATTCTCTTTCCTGGACATTTGCTTTGGTATAAGTGTCTTCTGGTTCTTTCCTTGAATTTATTAGAAATGGAAATTAAGAAGCAAATACAATCATTGATAACTGGCCTGTCCAACCTATAAACACTCTAGCATATAGGTGTAGTAAAACTTTTAGATATGAACAACAAGGCCAAAAACACCAAAGGTGGTGCTTTTAAATCAGTTGTTCTTGTGGTGGTCTGTAGACTGGTTGGAACCAGCCACCTTTCCCTCTAATAGTAGCTTCCTTTATAAATAAAAGAATTGATAGGCAGATATTTGGCATAGCGGTTAAGACACTGGTTAGGAAATCCACATCCCACATTGAGCGCCAGCTCTGGCTCCTGACTCCAGTTTCCTAACAACAAAACCCTGAGAGGCAGTGGTCATGGCTCATGTAATTTGGCCCCTGCAACTCATTGAGGAGACCTGGGTTGATTTCCCAGTTCATGAATTCATTGTGGACATTTGGGGAGTGAACAGTAGGTTGGGGAGCACTCTCTCTTACGCATTTTCTCTCTTTCTCTCTGTCTGTCTCTCTTCAGAGATTTACTTACTTGTTGCAAAGTCAGGGTTACAGAGAGAGAGGGAGAGACCAGGGAGAGATCTTCAGTCCACTGGTTCACTCCCCAGATGACTACAATAGTTGGGGCTTGCCAGGCCAAAGCCAGGAACCAGAAACATCATTTGTACCTTCCACATAGGTGGCAGAATTCCAAACACTTGGGCCATCTTTTGCTGCTTTCCCCAGACCATTAGCAGGGAGCTGGATTGGTAGTGCAGCATCTGGGACCCAAACAAGTTTCACATGGGATGCTGGTGTCACAGGTGATGGCTTTACCTGCCATGCCACACTGTTCACACCTATTCTCCCTCTCAAACAAACTAAAAAATGAAAAGAATACAAAAGTTTTGCATTCATATTATGTTTTTTTTCTCTACATGTTGGTATTTGAACTATAAATAATTGAGAGTAAGAAAATATCACATCAAGTTAAATGTCACTTTCAAAAATAAAGGATATAATTATGATATGGGAAGTTTTTAATCATTCTTTACAAAAACTACTTTTTCTTAGAAAGGCTACTTTTTTGAATTTTGATATTGTACTAGTCAGCTGAACTGATCAAGTGGTACTAAGTCATTTTTAATGGCACAAAACACAACGTGTCACATACGAATATATCATAAATGTGTCTATCAGTACTATTCCTTTGATAACACATATTCTTTAATTGTTTTGCCGATATGTCCTTTTAATAATTATTTTAAATCTTAATGGCATTATTCTTAAATACTTTTTAAATAACTTTGCTATATATAAATCTGTCAGCATTAACTTAGGTTTATTGATAATAAAATTTCCAATCCTTTTGATAACATAATGTATCTCAAATAGGGATAATGTTGAGAATCTATACCCCCTCTTGACTTTGGAAGATCCTAAGTGTGGATAAAAGTAGTATTGATTGCCAATTTTACCAACACATGATCAAATGGCATTTCCTGTTTAGGTAGGGCCATGTTCCCATTCTGAACAATGAGATGGGAAAGGTACTGACATATGTAACCCTCCAGAGATTTCACTCCCCCTGACATGTGACCTGCATATTATTAGCAGCATAACAAGCTGTTCTTTTGAATAAATGTATTTTTTTCTGTTTGATGAATTCTGCAAGACATGTGTGTGTGATTTTGTTTATGACTTGTTTTTAAATTAAGAAGTTTAGAGGAGAAATTGTATATCCTCCATCATCAACTAGTCAGGAGTGGAGGATATTCTTTTTTTTTTAATTTTTTTAACTTTTATTTAATGAATATAAATTTCCAAAGTACAGAATATGGATTACAATGGCTTCCCCCCCATACCGTCCCTCCCACCCACAACCCTCCCCTTTCCCACTCCCTCTCCCCTTCCATTCACATCAAGATTCATTTTCGATTCTCTTTATATACAGAAGATCAGTTTAGCATACATTAAGTAAAGATTTCAACAGTTTGCTCCCACACAGAAACATAAAGTGAAAAATACTGTTTCAGTACTAGTTATAGCATTAAATCTCAATGTACAGCACACTAAGGACAAAGATCCTACATGAGGAGTAAGTGCACAGTGACTCCTGTTGTTGACTTAACAAATTGACACTCTTGTTTATGGCCTCAGTAATCACCCTAGGCTCTTGTCATGAGCTGCCAAGGCTATGGAAGTCCCCTGAGTTCACCAACTCTGATCATAGACAAGGCCATGGTCAAAGTGGAAGTTCTATCTTCCCTTCAGGGAAAGGTACCTCCTTCTTTGATGACCCGTTCTTTCCACTGGGATCTCACTCATGGAGATCTTTCATTTAGGTTTTTTTTTTTTTTTCCCCCAGAGTGTCTTGGCTTTCCATTCCTGAAATACTCTCATGGGCATTTCAGCCAGATCCGCATGCCTTAAGGGCTGATTCTGAGGCCAGAGTGCCATTAGGACATTTGCCATTCTATGGGTCTGCTGTGTATCTCACTTCCCATGTTGGATCATTCTCTCCCTTTTTTATTCTATCAGCTAGTATTTGCAGACACTATTCTTGTTTATGTAATCCCTTTGGTTCTTAGTCCTATCATTACGATCAATTGTGAACAGAAATTGATCACTGGGACTAGTGAGATGGCATTGGTACATGCCACCTCGATGGGACTGAATTTGAATCCCCTGGTATGTTTCTAACTCCACCGTTTGAGGCAAGTCAGCTTGAGCATGTCCCGAATTGCACATCTCTTCCCTCTCTTATTCCGTACTTTTTAATGTTATTCAGCTGTACACTTTTTTTTTAATCTAATTTTCTCCTTTGTGCCAACTCTTCTCTCCTTTTAAAAACATTTGTTATTTTGCTTCAAGTGAATTTTCTTGGATACTCCAGTTTTATGTAGAACAAAGACAGTACAAATAAATAAATGATTGGGGTCGGCGCCGCGGCTCAATAGGCTAATCCTC